AAAATTTTTTTTTTCATACTTTCCCTAACTATCCCAAAAGGGTAAAAAATTTTTTTTTTTTTTTTTAAAAAGTTTTTTTTTTTTTTTTTTTTTTTTTTTTTTTTTTTTTTTTTTTTTGCAATTTCTTAGGAAAAAATATATATAGCTATAAGGATATTTTCTTTTTTTTTTTTAAAAAAAAAATAAGGCAACATAGAGAATAAGAAAATCATAAAGAATAAATCATAGAAAATTTATGTGATGTGGGAGAAGGAATAAAGAAAAGAAAAAAAGAGAGAGAGAAGATATGGTTCGTATTGAAAATTATTCATAAAAATTGTCACATATAATATATATAAATAATACCTTATCCTATAACTTAGTATTTAAAGAAAAATAAAAGTTGGACATAATAAATAAAAAGAAAATTGATTATTCGGAATCATCACCATTTTCATCGTTATTATTATCTCCCAAAATCCATTTCAAATTTAATGGATGATGTTGAGGTTGTGTGAAATTAGAAGTCGAAGGCGTTGTAGAAGGAGAAAGCGGTGGAGAAGAAAAATTACATTGTTCGTCATTTTCTTGTAATTGCCATTGTGAATCGGATCGTTCCGGTGAGGAAATCGTTGGGCAATTTTCGCGTGAAGGTTGAGAATCATTACAAGTGGTGAAATTTGAAAATATTGTTTGAGAGGGCGTCGTCGGAGTTGCACATTGTGACACCGCTCCGCTTGGGATAATCCACAACCGTTTCCTTGCTTTATGATCCAAATAATAACTACCGAATGAATCATTACTTGACGATAATTGTGATGGATCTTTTGTTAAATCTTCAATCGAAACGGGCTCACAAAAGCAAAGGTCCCCTTCTTTGGTATCACAAAATAAAGGATCCCTGATTATGTCTTCAATTGATTCATCTTGATTGCCTGATGTATCGCGCAAAAGGGAGGGGGATGAATGATAAGTGATCAAGTCTAAAAAAAAAAAAATCTAAATTCTTAAGTTTGAAACATGACGTACCTCCATACGTGCCATCGCTCATTTCAACGTCGATAGGAATTTCTTCATTACTTTGCCTTTCATTTGACCGATAGGAATTACTTTCACACATTTGTTCTTCAATAGACTGGCTAAATATGGACGTATCACATTTATTACTTTCTTGAGTTTTATCAAGTCTTCTCTGGAGCAAAGCCAATCTTTCCCGTAATGATTTGATATGACTTTGCGCTTCGGTATATAAGATTTCATAAGTCGTAGCTTTAGTTTCCAAAGTGCGAACATAATCTTCCTTTCTTCGACGAAATGCCCTTTGATTTGTCAAATTTTGAATATGTTTTTTCTGAAAACGAGGAAAAAAAAAAAAAAAGATCGCATGGGTTTATGATTAATGATATTACCCCACAAATTTTGTTAGAACATCACCAATTTGGAAATAACTACTACTTACGGTCTCGGGCATTTTTGACAGGGGCTTACGACCACGTTTGTTTGGCATTGGCTTACCGATAGAAGGTGTCAACATTTGTTCTGTGAAACGTGACAACAAAGGTTTAAGAAAAGTTTCAAAAAAAGTAAATTCTGGGGGGAAGAAAACAAAAGGGTATAAAAACTTACGGCAAATGACGGGGTTCAAGTTGGTTGAAAGTTGAGAATTTGTTGGCCAATTAGTCGAAGTTAACGATTCCGGAAATTTTGAGTTTGAGGAATGCAAAGAGGTATTCGAAAGTCTAGGGATTGGTAACTTTAATTGTTGACCAGGTGCATTCATTGTCGGGTGGAGTTATGTTTACAATTTCATAAAAGAAAGGGTAAGAAACGTAGAAATTCGAATCAGAATTCGATTAAGGGAAAGGTTTGTTTGTTCATTCCTTATAACCATTTATTTATACAATACGATATTTTGTGATAGTGACATGAGGTTGTGATTGGTTATTTTTTTTTTAATTAAAAAGTAAGTTTCAGTTCTAATTTTATCGGATAAATAAAAAGCAAATGGAATGCCTTATAGCTGCCACATGCTTAGCATTTATAACGTTATTTGTTTGTTTGTAAGGAATTTGAATGTAATTGTAATTCGATCGACAATCAAACTTTCAAATTAATAAAATTATTTTTTTTTTCCACTGCACGAATAGAAAAAATAAAGAGGAAATGAAAGTTTTTTTTTTGTACCATGACATAAATAAAACGTTTGATGATGTTATGATATTATTTGCTTGTGATCTTCAAATCGAGTTTTTACTCGGAAAATTGAATACGTAACCGGAAATTTTCTGATTATCGTAACGACCGTGTAGAAATGATTCGTTCTTATAACATTTTAGACATGCAAGCTTTACGCTTGAATTGATAATCATCGAGCATATCTATTTTTTTTTTTTTATATGATATATAATATCTTCATATTGTCCGTGATCGTTTTAGATATTTCTCAAACTGTATTAAATGAGATACAAAAATCCCATTGGGAAAAAAAAAAAAAAAAAAAGTGATGATTACTTTAATCACATCCCACCGAATTAGTGCTCAAAGAAAGTCGCTCATTCTCACGCATATCAGAAAACAAGGAAAAAAAAAAAAGTAATTCCTTTTTTTGGTGTATGTGGCCGTTAGCCCGTAAAAAAAAAAAAAAAAGATTTTTTTGAACTTTATAAAATTCTTTTTTGGTGCCATTTTTTTACGCCTTCCTAAAAGAAATATCTCACATATTTATTATCTCTTGTACAACAGATCATTTCATTGCTGTCAATTCCAGAAACAACGAAATATTTCCATTATTGTACCTGAATTATAAATTTTCCTTAATGGACGTGAGATCTTATTGTTATTTGTTTACTTGTATTACAGGAAAAAAATTTCGTTAGACATATTTGGGATTAAAATTTAAAATATCATTCTTTTTTGTAATGAATGACATAATAAAAAGTTTAAATATGCAAATGATAATCAAGTAACCTTATCTTTTTTTATTTACCCCCACAAATTTTCTCTTTCGAGATTGTCACATTTATAGATTAACGGATAAAAAAAAAAAGAAAAAACACGTTTCATCTTACAGGGTCTAACAGGTCCAGGAAACACGTGGTCAATTTGATTGGCGGATCGTTCCTCGTATAATTTTACCGCAGCAGGTTAATTAATTTTCAATGTTACAAAAAAGAGATTAATTAAGATGCACTCAAAATTAAAGTGTAACTAGAAAAAAAAATTAATAATAACTAAACAAAACGCATTCGGAGGGATATTCCACAAACAGATCATTTAAAACTTACGCGTTGTGTCAATAAATAAATATCCATATTGACTTTTTCGTGTTTTTTTTTTTTGTTTGCTTAAATCTCATTTTGAATGAAACAATAGATGCATTATCATTGTGCGTTGCTCCATTAATCAAGTTAAACAAGTTTCGTACTTGTTTCATCATGAAATTTCTCAAACATCACCTTCCCGAATGATGATTATGGCATTTACCGATGAATCAAGAAAGTACAATATGATAATATTCATCTATTATCTAGATCGTAACTCGGGCTGCAAGCTCCTAACCTTAAATACGCCTATTCAAAGTCTCACGCAAAACACATCCCCGCATTCTTTTATCTCCATATAAAGCATTTTGTCAAACAAGCATTATTGACGCAATTTCTTATGATCAGATCGTTAGTCACTTTATACTTGTCTTTTATATCCTAAAAGATACGATTTTGAGTTTCGTCTAAATTTCCCACATCCTCATCGAAATTATTTGATTCATTTAAACAAAACTTTAACCTAATCTAAGGAATGTCATTGTTAAAAATCAAAAAGGTTTTTTTCACACAAATTTATCATGTTCATCGGAACTTATTACAATACAAAAATTAAATGTCAGCATTTTCAAATAATTTTAAATTACTTTGTAATTAAATCACGAGTAAAAGACGAACACTAATTTTTTGTAGAGTAATATGTAAGGGATTCCGCGATGCCTAATTTGGGCTGGAATTTTGATTTTGTACTCCGATCAGATTTAGAGTTACAGATAATCACACGAGATGTAAATCAGGTGATTTTCCACTTATTATTGATTTGGATCGGGTGTTTCCCTCCCAAAACACTCTTTCGAATACCTTTTTTTTTTTACAACATATGGAAGAAACTGATCGAGTTACGAAGAGAACCGTGTATCATGAACGTCAAAGGTTGTGGTTTTGTGGTCAGGTAAGTTTAAAACGTATGGTAAAAAGGGTATTAAATTAACGATATACTGACTATGTTAAAATACTATATATAGCACACGTTAAATAATTTGGTAAGTTATATTTGAGAAAATATCTTCTTGGTACTTTCAAATTCTTTGTTAATTTCTATTGTTTTGGAATACAGTTTCAGGATAAAGTTTTCACAAAGGAACAACTTGATAATATCGCTCTAAAATTGGCCGAGTCAACAAGTTCAGCGAGTTCGACACGAAAAACTTATTTTATTAATCCACACAAGAGCGTTTTGTGAGTGATTTTGTATATTTCAATTTCTCGAAAAAAATTATTAAATATTTTAAAAAAATTTTTTTTTTTAAAAAAGAAATAAAAACTTTATAGCGAAGTGGGTAATTATGATATTAATGTTTTGGAAATGGCTCTAAAGGAGAAAGGTCTGGAAGTACAATGGTTCGATGTTAGAAAAGGTATCAAAAGGTCATTTGAATTTTTTCCATCAAACATATTCGTAATCTCCCCATAGATATCAAAAGTGACCCTTTCGTTTTTACTGCTCATAAATGCAAATAACAATAATGTAAAAGGTATTGGCAATCTAAGTATTAAGGGTTTCTTTTCCTCCTTTATTTAGACATTCGAACCGTTATCCAATTCACCGATGCAACCCTTTTTGGACTCATTTTGAACGTTCCAACGATACGTTTTTATCTCTGGAAATCTTATCATTGGATTGCAATCAAACCCTTCTTTAAACATGATGATGAGAAGTCTGTTGAAGTTTTCAATTTGGATTCAAAACTAAACAACCCCGAAAAATTCGAGGACTTTGAAAAGGTAAAGAATCATGTTAATCGTTTAATGTTATCAAGAATATATATTTAGTTTATTATTTTATTACTGTTTTAGGTATATAAATTTCTGGAGTATATAGTGTATCATAAGAATGGAAATGTTTTTCTTGTGAAGGCGAGTATAAAAGAAGAGGATTCATAATAATTATAATAAACATCTAGTTTCTTGATAAAGAATTATTATTAATATAATTGTTTAATCAGGCAATAAGTTAATAAGTGTCGCTCGACATGGTTAAACCCTTAATAAAATAATTTGAAACGTGGTTTATAATAAATCGTCAGTCATTTGATTTTTAAATTGTAAACATAAATTTGGCAGAATTATCAAATGTGCCGAACATTAATTTTGCGCAGAATTATAAATACAGAATGAATTGTTCACGTGATATTTTGATTAAATTGGTTTACTATATATACATTTTTAATTATTGTTAACGTATAAACTATTATTGGTCACGGTTAAAAATAAACCGGTTTTAAACCGGTTGTGTAACTGAATTGATTCAAGACCAAGAACCGCGGTTTTTATTACGTAATTCAATATGGTTAGACCCGATGGTTTAACTGAATTTTCAGCTACAGTTTCAACAATAGTAGATAACTTTATTTAGAAAAATCTAAATAATAAAAGTTAATTATTATTATTTATCTAAAAAGAATTTTTGTAACCAACGAAATAAAAACATTTTTTTTTGTTATAAATTGATTCTATTATTTATTATAATAATGATTCATAAATAAATTAAAAAATAAAACTATGAATAGAATAAATTTATAAATATTAAAGTATGCTTGTTTTTAGCCAAATGTAGAATAGCCTATAAATTGTTGATCTTAAACATGGCTCAAAGGTGACAAGCTTTATTTAGAAATAATTTTTTTTTTAGCAGAAAAACAGAAAAAAAACTATTAAAAAAACTAAACATTAGTTAAAAGAATAACAGTTAAAAATTTTATTTTAAAAAAATAAAGATAATAATAGTTGAAGTAATAATTATATTAAAAAAATAGAATTATGTGAAGAGGTTTTAATTTACAATAGTATTTTAGTATTAAATGATAATGATAATGAGTCAAATTTTTGTGTCAAAATAAATCTTTATGAAGAAGAAAGATTGAAAAGTTGAAAAGTATTTAAATTTTTCAGTAAAGTAAATATTATAATTTAAGTTAAAATAAGTTTAAAATATTTTAAACTTAAATAACAAAACTTACATTGCTCAAATTCTGATTGTCTTCTGTCTTCTACTTGAGAAACTAAAAAATAAAGTTTAAATTTAATTAAATTTTAATATAAATTCAAATAGAATACATTTTTAAATATACTTATTAGGTTTTTTTTCAAAAAAGGATTCACAAATATTATTTTATCTTTCTTTTTACATAAAGTTCAAATAACTAAAAATATTGATTATTTATAATTTGTATTTTATATAATTATATTATATGTTTTTTTAATTAGTATTTTATTTACTTTACAATCCTTTAAACTTTGTTTAATATTATATTACTATAATATTTATATCTAATTCTTCTTTGATCTTTTTTTTTCAAAAAGATAACTTTGATTTTTCAAGCATAAACTAATATTTTTTATTTTTGTTTTATCGTTTGCTAATTAATAATTATACTACTTCATTATTATTTTAATCAATTGTATTTAGCATTTTTAATAAATGAAAATTTTGAAAAATTGTTAAATTTAATTTTTTAATAATTAAAAAAAAAAAATATTTTTATAAATTTATATAAATTATATTAATATATATCAGAGATTTGAAATATTTTTAAATAAGTAATTCTATTTAGTCAAATTATCTAATAATTATAAATTATAATTGTACTTCTATTTTTATGTATTATATACAATTCTATTTATACAAATTATTTAATAGTTACAATTTTGATAAAATTACTTAATTTTTATATAATTTCAAAATTTTCATTTTAGAAGAAAATAATTTCAACAATAATATTCTAATAATCATTACTAATTTATTTTTAATTAATCTTAAATTTATTACTAATTATCTTATAAAGAAATTTTTTGGATAATTAACAATTTTTTTTTAAATTTTTAACTAAAATTTTACAAAAGTAATCTAATTTTATTATTTTTAATTTATATTTAATTAGATTTTTATTTTATTTTATTTTTTTTAAAAATTAGTTAAATTAACATAAGAATTAATGCTAATAAATTATTTAAAATAAGTAATACTTATTATATTTAAATATGAAATATTAGATTTTTGATCAACATCTTTTTATTCAACATATTAAATAATAAATATATTAATATAAATTTTAAAAAAATAAAAGATGCCTTAATTATAATTTTGATAATAATACAAATAAACTATCTATTTCTGAACTACCAAAAAAAGTTAGTATAAATATATTTAATATAATAAGAATAAAGAAAAAACTATTGTATAGCGCTTTATAAAGTATCTTAAATACTAATTGCCAAATTTAGGCTGACTATAAATAATATCTCCTAAGGGTACTGTATTTAATAGAGGTATATTAAATAGAAATATTGTGTTAGGAATACAATTTATCAAAAATTTAGATAATCAAGATGATCAGTTAATCATTTTTTTTTATATTGAATAAAGAAAAATTTCTGTGAATTTTACGGGTATTTTAAATGCTTTAAGAAATGCAATGCAAAGAATAGACAAAATGCTAAGAAAACTATAAAATTCTTTTTAGCTTTAATAAATCAACCACCTACATCTACACTTACACCTATACCTATAATTATAACTATAAAAATACACTCAGAAATCTTCTACTTTATCAAATTCAGAATAAAATTTTATTTCTGTTACTACTAAAGCTCAACCAAACTAATATATATAAAATTAAATTAAAACTTTGCTAGTGAAAATGAGAAAACAGGAACAAGTGGAAAGAAATACAGTACAAAATACCTTTCTCTTAAATTTAATTTCAAAATATTTGATATAGTTCAGGTTAATATAAATAATTGTGTAATACATCTTTTGAATGAATGCTATTGAATCTCTAATACATTATAAAAGTAAATTTTGATCCAGAATGCTGTATATTAATATTAAAGTTCTTTTAATTTAATTCACATTTGTTTATCAGAATTACAGTTTTCTAATAGTGTAGGTATATTAAAAAAATAGAATGGTCATATATGCTAGATATTTAAATTATTAAATTCAATCAAAAAGATATAATAAAGGTTGATAGATATGTTAAAGATAATTAGCTTTTCTAAAATTAAGATTAAAATAATTTTTTATTTAATCTTTTTTTTTTTTAGATATTGAATATCAAAGTCAAAGATAATGTATTGAGTTATAATTATGTATAAAATGTTATATTATATGAAGGATATAGGATATTAATAATAAATATTTAATAAAATTTTAACACATTTTATTTCATATATTCTCTTCTATGAAAATAATATTTTTAACAATCATTTTGTGTAAGGTGACTTATTTTGTATGTGTATTTAAGGTAAAAAATTCTCTCATATTATTGTCTATGAAATAATTTAAGTAATAATCTACTTACGTTTAAAAGAAAATGAAAATATAAATTCTTAAATATAGGAATCTGAATTGTAAACTAATGTTTAATATGAAATTTAGCAAAATATACAATTAATATTATTGAACTTGAATGTATAATAATAAATTAATATTTTTAATAAATTATGTTCTCATTAGTAATATAATTCTTTATAATGACATTAATTTTTTTCTTTATCTATCAAATATTAATTTATTAAACTGAATTTTTTAATCTTTTCTTAAAATTTAATATTAAACTAACATTTCAAATTAATTATAATTTAATAAATCCAATTGTTTAATATATAGAAAAAATTTAGTGTGATAGAGATAAAATTCTTTTTGAATATGTTCTAAAATAATTTGTATTTCTAATTTAATATTTAAATATAATTTTTAAAACTATTCTTATATTACATTCTTTACTATGTTGTAAAAAGAATATTATTACTGATTTTATTTGAAAAAGATTAATTAATTCAGACCTTATATTCTCAACCTCTAATCTTAAAAAAATTCCTAAATAGTTTAATAATTCTATTTAAGCATGAAAACTTATTATTATGAATAAAGTAAGAATAGCTAATAATAAATAGCATAGGATAAATAACTACTTAAAAACTCTTATTATAGAAAATTATATCTCAATTGAATGTAAAGACTTTAAATTCTAAGATTTTAATCATTATACTAAATTTATAATTTAAGTAATTATAATTCTCTAATTTGAATAGAATTGAATGATAAATATATTATATGTTTAGATGTATTTTCCTAATATACAGTAGCGGTCATAAGTATCCGATCACCTGAGATTATCTAAAATTATTATATAATTACTCCTTAAATTTTCCAGAAATATAATATAATACAATACATGATCACCTGTAAATTTATAAGTATCAATAATACAAAAAAAAATTTAGATGATCATCAAACTTTCGCTT